TGTAGAGATGTATTGTAGTTTATTTGCTAAGTAGTAGTTTTGGAAGATAGGCAGATCTAGTCCCCCTCTATCTTTAGGTTTCTGTAGTGTCTTTAAACTGATACGAGGGGGTTTATCTTTCCATAGAAATTTAGAGATGGAAGAATCTAGAGATTTAAACCAGTCGGATGATGGTTTATTGGGGATCATTGAAAATAAGTTTTAAATTTTGGGTAAGGCCATCATTTTAACTGAGGCTTCCCTACCCATAAATTGGATCAGAAGTGATTTCTCTTTCGTCTCCCACAGCTCACTCAACCTACCATGCTCATTATTGGTTATTTTATTATGATGAATTTGTGCATCAGGGGACCCAGGGGCTCTAATTCCCTGGAGCCACTGTCCTAGATATTATGTAGAAAAACCAAGATACAATAAATACTCAACAATCTAAGCAGCAGCTGGTGCTTGACATAGGCTGTAATAACAGAAAGAAGACATTTGAATTGCTAAAAGAGAAATAAATCAGCTTTTTGATGCCATATGGTGTTTCTAGTGTAGTGTTTATATCCCAAATCCCACCCTGGCCAGCATAAGGAAAATGGGCAGCTTCAGCTCACTGCTGAGCTGCAACACCTGGCTGTCCTATATGCTTCTCTCTCCCAAGATATGAGTTTCATATACAACATTGATATCTTATATTTGCATCAGACTGACTTCCCCTTAATCATATCGATGGCTAGATTTTATCATCCAACAATTTGTACTGATCATTGCATTACAGTATGAGAACACAAACATTCTTCTTCCTCCACATGCTGTGTAGTCCAGCCATGATTAATGTTCATCCAGTCCAAGTCATTATTCTGACACTTCTGCTTTGAGCAATATGTGTTTAACTAATCTGATATTTCAACATGCTCAAATTATTCTGTTACTGTTTTTGTAACCTCCAGACATATTGAAAAAAACTTCATATTAAACAAGGATATGCTTTGAATCACCAGAACATAATATTGATCATAATCCACAAATCCAAGCCCAAATGTGTGCACTGTATTTATTTTGTATTTCAATGTGATAATCCCAAAAAGGGTGTTGTTGATGGCCAGATCCTATTTGAATAGGACCTTCTACAATGTTTGGACTTGCAGGGACTGCAATTTAACATTTTCATGGAGAGAAGGAACAAAGGAAGCTGCACAGAAACCATTGTTTCAAGTATTTTTGTTTTTACTCATAGATAAATAGAAGAGTCACTTTTAATTATTTTTGCTAAATACCAGAGTAATATAACAACTTTTGAAGTATACTTACAGTTTCTTAATATTTGCTAGGGTTGCCTTTAAATGATTTTGGATTTCCTTTTACCAGTATATTACAACAGTGGGGTGGAAGTTTGGCTAATTCAGCTGACAGAACCTGTCACTGAGTCAGGTTTGTTGGCCAACCTAAAGCATAGGCCACTAATTCGACTCAATTTAATGTAATGCTTGGAGTCCTTTTGCATTTTAAAGACCTACTTAATGCTCAATGTGTACTTTTCTAGCCTAAATTCTGAGCTATTGGATCTCTTTTTTCAAATAATATACTTTTGCCTGTTTTCTGAAATGCATCGGTCCATTCTTTACCAAAACACCTACAAATCATGGAGGAGCAACTCCTACACATCAATTGGGAAGCTAGTCTCAGGATTAAAAGCTTTTCCCTTTTTCTTCCAAATGTAACAATGGTTATTTGGACCCAAATTTCTGTTTTTGTTTCATAAGATCACAGAATGTGCCTCCAGAAATCAATCTCTTTAACACTGTGTGCATTTGCACTCTGTAATTTGTTTTGTTTTGTCGTTTTTGTTCTTTGCTTTTGAATTAACGGCTTCCTTCTTTCTGGGTGCCCTTTCAGTCCATGTCACTATAGGACTTGTTTCGCTGTGAATAATAACATTCCTTTACCAGCTCTAGCCAACATTTCTACACTTTTTAAAAGATAGTTTAAAGTACTATTAAATTAAATTAACATTTTAAAAAAGTTTACATTTGTCTTAGTGTGTTTAGGAGGTGATATATGACTAATACTTAAAGCGGCAATGTGTAATAATAACAGGGATTTACTGATAAAAATCTAATATATTATACGTAAGTATAATACATGACAGTGTAAGCCAATAAAACTAGTTACTGTAGATATCACCATTATTATGAATGTGAATGCAGCAACCTTTAAAGGTAGAACTGAGATGGGTCAGACATTTCTAAAGCAATAGTATGCTATTAGATGGTGTTACTCTCCAGCACTTAGACTTAGACAATTAATAATAATTGATTTCAATGCATACAGATTTTTAACAGTGAATGAGCAGCTTACAACAATTAAATGAACATTAGCATTTATAAAGTGCAATAGTGATCAGAATAGTGTAGGAGCAAAGGAAAACCAGTTTAACATCATGGTGCAAAAGGGATTAATATGAAAGGCTCAGTGCATAACAGTGCAGTATAGAATGCAGCCGCACCGTTGACGTTTCACAGGCCATAAGGACTGACATTACTCAGACAACACTCCTCAAACTACGTACAAAAGTAACTTTACTTAATGTAGTGCTAAGATCTGTTAATAAAACATGTAGAATAAAGGATTTTTTATATCATGCACACCACATGGGTATCAGGGTTCCCATGGATTATTAAAAAGTCTTTAAGACGATTAAAGTCTTCAATAACCAATCTCAAATCAGTCTTTCATAGGTCTTGAAAAATTTTTATCATCATAAATAGGATTTTATTGTTGCAATCCATAATTTAATTGTTTTTTTTTTTTTACATTTACCGAATGGCTCGCTGTAACCATTATTGGTTCCCTCCCATTAGCAGAACCAATAAAAACTATCTTGTGGCCAGACCTTGGGGTAATGCACTACTAACTTTTTGGGGAAGTGTACATTTAACGAAAATTGGCCATCCAGCCAAGAGTTTTTTTAATGCCCAAAACCAGTACAGGGAATGTATATAAGGCATGGCATGACCGTTGAAAGTGGGGGTGCTGAGAGGGAGATACATTCTTTTTTTTTTTTATACTTTGCACAATATATACATTTCTTATGAATATTTGGGGAAATGATTTTGACTCTCGTGCTCTCTACTATTACGTGTATTTGTATTCTAATTTAATTATTTTGAGGCCTAATCAACACAAAATCATGGAAGTTACGTTGTCATGGCAATGTCAAGCAAGCTAGAGCGTAGTATCACGCTCATGGCAGCAGACTAGTAATTCGAAGAAATTTGGCAAAGAAATGCATTTCGTATTCGTCTGTTTACAAAAGACTTTATCTCCATGACCCCAGAGGGCACCTGAACATTTATACACTTGTAACCAGGCAGGGCACCCTACCTGTAGCTCAAAGTGAGCATTGTGCCGTTGCACACTTTTATATCTATTCGTAACATTTAGTTTAAAATAACCAAAGTGTTTTAGAGTGTTATTTTCATCCTGTGTTCTTTGTGTAATGGATGTAGAGAATTGTTCAATAACCTTTACATAGTATAATACCGTAATATAATTACTGCATAAAATTTTTTGGAGCTAATAGTCATGTGTGACATTAACACAGTGACTGAGGTACATGCCAGCTGAGCAAATCTACATTATTATAGTGTTTTTGTGAAGTTTAATTATTAGCACATATATTCACCTGAGAACTGATGACATCTGTGTATTACAGACCCTGTTTGCTTGCACTGAAGTGTATATGACAATAAAGTAGTGAATCTTAATCTATTTACTTATTTATTTTTATTGTATTTTAAATAGGCCTATAGATGTTCTCAGCACCCCCTGTGTAAAAGTACTTACAGTGGCCCTGACGCATGGTGTATTTTGTACAAGAGATCATTAAAGCTTGGCATGATGGGAATCAAGGCAGTGGAGTGAAACACAAAGCATCAAAATCATGTCATAGAGAAGCAGCAGGAATTTCTAGGTTGTGTTCAACAGTTGTCTCTGCAATGCCTCCAAAGCCATCTCCGACACCAACAACAATGGCAGTAGCGCCAATACTCCGGATAATGTTTGGCGGTACGACTACAATGAAGTTAGAGCTATTTTGAACTTTGAGTAGGGAACAAAAAGAAGTTTGTGAATTTAGTTCACTAGTTCTTCAAAAATAATTAATTCAAAAAGTTATTAGTGTGTTTTAGCTTTCTTCTTATATCTTCGTTGCTTTGCAGTATTATTACCCTTCTTACCCTACTACACTACTATTCATACGGTAAGTCCCCAATGACAATAAAGTTTAATTCTATTCTATTATATTGTATTCTATATGGACAGTTTAAAAAAGTAAAAAATTTCTACTGGTCCGGAATGTACTGATTTATGAGCATATAAACATAATTCGGTAAATTGCGGTAAATTTACCTCAATCAGGTTTTCTTAGCTTTTTTATTTTCTTAACTTTTTATTTCAAGTGGCATTAAAAAGTCTTTAAAAAAGTCTTGAATTTACCTTTCCTTACAGAAGTTAAAAAAAAGGCTAAAAGCAAAAAAACAAATAAATATTTTTTTTATTATATAAAACATGTATGTAAAAATGTATTGTTGCACAAGTTTAAAGGGGTTGGCAACAAAAGTGCAAAACTCATTAAATAGAGATACTTTGAGCAAAGCCTTGTCATGTCCTGGTCTAAAATAAATTAACCTAATTATCTCCTACTAAGCAGTTTGTCTGCACACCTGGCATTCATCAGCTGCTGTTTTTCATGAATCTACTGTTAATTGATGTTATTTAAAGATCTCTCACTCACCATCATGGATCAGTACACATTTCTATTCCACTGTGAGCATGGCAAGAATTAAAGTTGATTAATTAGAGTTGTTCAAAAACTGGGCTATAAACACAATTCAACCTCATTCTCTCTGAGCAGATTTTGTATTACACCTTGAAAAATGAAATGTACTTTTTAACACAGATTCAAATATCACCAGCCATCATGATGGTACAGTTGCTCCTCTCCTCTCCCACAGAGCATGATGAGTGTGCCAGTGGCCAAAGCTTGTGTGATGAGAACGCCATCTGCACCAACACCATCATAGGACACCTGTGTACCTGCAAGCCAGGCTATGTTGGGAATGGTACCATCTGCAGAGGTAAGATCATGCCCTGGAACATCCCTCTGGACACAAAGAAAGATCCTAAATCCTTCCTCACATCTGTTTTTAGCTCATTGTGTGTTTGATGCTGGCATGGTTCTCCTATATCCCACAACCAGGCAGCAGCTGCAGTAGAGATGATGAAAATTGATTATTGACCACTTTCAGCCTGTTTCCAGATACCCTTTTCCCATATAGTTCTCCTTATTGACATTTTACTCAAACACCTTGCCAGGTTCACTGGTTAGAATTCAGAACCTGTTTTCTTTTGTAAGTTTTGTGCTTTTATCCAAATTGAGACATTTAATTTACACCACTGTTTTGTTTTCTTGTCACTAGAATATTTAATATGCGCCTTATGTTTATGTGTGCTGCAGTGATGTACTTTTCAAAACCACTTAATTATATTTGTGTGCACCAAGTACACAGTTTATTTTTATATTTTTTTTTTTCGGCACAAATAAGCAAGAGACTCCTTTCTGGAACGATAGATTTATACATTTTTAAATTGTGTTTACAAGCTGCTCACAAAATTGCCTAGACATACATTTACATTGCATTTTCAAAAAAAAGGACAGGCTTAGCTATTGGTCCAAACCATCTGCTTCCAGGATCATTTCAACACAGAACATATATTTTATAGTGAACAATTTATGCCTTGTAGCTAATAGCCACAAGGCATAAATAGCCTATGGTCGCAGGAAATGGGGGTGCTGCATCATCCCCTAGTGGTGAGAAAGAGAAAATTTATTAAAAATACTTTGCACAATTTAGAAATTTCTTATGAACATTTTGGGAAATTATTTTGACTTTTTTTACTCTTTTATGTATTCTTATTTTGATTTAATTATTTTGAGGCCTAATCAACACAAGCTCAAGACGTTACGTTGTCATGGCAACGTCAAGCAAGCTAGAAGTCACTGAGTTAAGAGGAATCCCGCTCACGGCAGCAGACTTGTAAATTAACATTAGTGTCTGATGAGAGACTTTATCTCCATGACCCCAGAGCGCACCTCCACATGTAACTAGGCAGCGCACCCTGCCTGTAGCTCAAAGTAAGAGTATGGTGCCGCCATGCACTTCCATATCTATCTGTGCAGTTTAACGTAAAAAATTTATTTTTGAGTGTTATTTTGTTCTTGGGTTTTTGTGTAATGGATGTTTAGAACTGTTCAATAACATTTAAATAGTATAATACTATAATTATTTCCTTGTGGTTTGCTTTAAAGGATTTTGGATATGAACAGAGTGACTCAGGTTCATGCCAGCTGACCAAATCTATGTTGTTATGGTTTAATTGTAAAGTTTAATAGCGCATATACAGTATTCACCTAAAAACTAATAATGTTTGTGTGTTACAGACCCTGGTTGTGTGCACGGAAGTGTATATGACAACAAAGTAGTGAATATCAATCTATTTACTCATTTATTTATTTTTATTGTATTATAAATAGTTCTAAAGGGAAGGATCACCCTACGTATGTATGCAAAAAGCAAACTGTTGCAACACCATGAGATGTGCATTAAAAAGAGTTATCTTGCTTTTTATTTAAATAAATATTGTATTATATAACATAGCATTCATTATATAAATATAACAAATGCTAGCAAATAATTCAGAATAGTTTTTTTGCTGTTTTTTTTTTTCAGTCAAAATAGATTCTTTGAAAGAGAAAAGGAAACATATTTTTATGACTTATTATAGCCTATTAACATTTAAATGGCCAGGATTACAGCATATGATCCTACACTGAATTTGGGTGGATACAAGCGTATGCATGCATATTTGTGAAAGCACAAACCAAAAAAGCAGTTCAATTTATTTTACACACACAATACGAAAGTCACCTGCTTTAAAAAGCAACTTTGCTAAGAACTTTGCACGTCTTAAATACATGCAAAGCTTTGGAGGATCAGGCCCATAATGTTAGCAAGGTTAGAAATGCTGACAGAAATACTGTTGAAAATTTACATTGCAGGGGACACATACTGATTTTTTTATATTAGATATTTTTCATATTTATTCATATATAACAAGCACTTTGCAAAAGATTTTAAAAAGCAATAGCTTGTGGTAAGATTACAGAGAAAATAATTTTCACCTGCTAATATTTCTGCAGGGGATATTAGAATATTTTTTTTTTTCATCTTATCCAATTTTCCTACAGGTATATTTGCCAAGCATGGTTTAAAAGCTCACACTGCAATTTTATGTGAAGTCATAAGAAAGGTTCATTCACATTTTCAGGTGTGGAATGTAGTTCCTATAACTGTTCCTATAAAATTGTGAATCACGTGGGCTGAAAATCTTTCTCTATATCAGATTAACTATTTCCTAGTCTCTATAATATTTGTTTATGGCTGCTAAGATCAAGTATTAGAAATTGTAGTTTAAAATGTTAAGCTGCAATAAAAGGGCAAGGAAAAAACACATCATATAATATCAACAGTCTACATATTTGTATTGTTTTTGTATTTTAAATGTATTGTTTTTATATTTCTAATGTAAAGATAAAGACATCCTACAAGTTTGCATGAATTTCTTACGGAAAAGTTTCATGACTCATGCATATGCATATAATCTGCAGCTTTCCAAGTCATAAGGGTATCATTAAGCCTAATGAGGCTTTGGGTTTCAGAACGGCTTAAGCATGATCACATTAGGCCTCATTACATATATGTAAATTAACATAAATTGTCATTTGTCTCAACGTCTTACGACATATTTTGTGGATACAACTTATCCATATACAAACATACAACAGTGGCTAAAGACACTTCCTCAGTCTAAAAAAAGTATTCTGTGCTCATCCCATCTTTGCACCAAAATATTCATTTAGACAGACAAGCTAAAATAGAATGTAGCATATTTGTGCACAAAAAGACACACTAATACCACTATTATACTCCAAATCAAATCTGTTGTTTACTTAGTTTCTTCAGATTCATTTCCTCTTTAACAACCGTATCCCAATCCCAAAGATCACAATAGACCATGAATTTTCTAACACTCAAACATTAACAGGCCTTTATTCTTGATGACCAATTAAACCACTCAGGCCAACATCCTTTTAACTGCTACTTTAAAGAATTGCAGATTAAAAACAATGACGTAAGTGTGTGCTACTTATTCCAAAACTTACTGAGGTCAGACATAAAATGTCCTGTCAGTTAAGTGGTATGCTTAAACTTGTAATATGCTGCAGCAAGTGTACATTTTTGATTTTTGTGTGAAGGCAAGGACAACCAGAGACAGATTAAAAGTACAAACACGGAGGCATCATATTATCAGAGGAAGGGAAGTATGTGTGGCCCGCTCTAATCAAATGCAAAACAGATATTAGAATGGAAAGCAGGTAGAAAGCAGGTCTAGAAAGAGATCAATGTCATTTTTAAGTGTCTTCACTGCAGGGAAGTTTCTGTGTTTACTTCGTATTCATGCAAAATAAATACAAATGCAATGCAGACTTATCTATGCAAAAATGGAAAAACAAAACCTGACAATCAAAATCTTGGACTTAAAGTCTTTATCCATGTTAGAACTGTTTGAGGAGAAAGAGACCTCAAAGATATAAAGTATTAACAGAACTCATCAATGGTGAAATGAATCTTCTTATATTGAATATAAAACATTAGTCTTGCAATAAACCTTACTTAAAATAACTAAGATGCAGTGGTTAAAAAGGGGGAAGCCACCTACAGACAATGAAGATCTATTTATTGGACTGGATTACTGATTGGAATGCATTACCTCTCCTCACACTGTGAAATTTATGTTTATATTGAGTGAATGCACTTCGTCGGAGCTGTGAAGATGAACATCTCTTGAGACTAATTAAGTTATTTAAGTGCCTTGCTGCAAGATAAGTCAAATGGTTTGCCGGCTCATAGTTGCACACATACACATTCCACCATTTCTTTCCTCTTCATAAACTAAACACATTACAAACAGTTTATAAATATATTCAATGATGTGGATTTTCAATAAGGTAATAGAGTTTTATCTGTCGCTTCATCGAGACTATTTGCTTTATGCAGACAGTTTGAAATTAGTTTATGTCACAGAGAAAGTAGTTAAGCAATGCACTATACTTGGGTTTGTTGGTGCATTAAAAACCTATATAAAAATGTAAATTCTCTGTACTTGAATGCTTTATCTAGACAAAAAATGCAAATCATGAGTGTGACATCAGCTACAGTGGATGGGTCCTTCCACTACTAATAAATAAACCTAAATTACCAAAAAATATAACATATTTGTTGTATTATATGCATAATGTTTATTAAATGCTTATCTTAAAGGCATAATTAAGTGATATGTAGGAACAACTAGTAGCTAAAGTCTTTGAATAGTTGATGGCAGATTTGCACGAACTAGGGAAAAGCATGGATAATTCACTCAATAAGCAGTGTTTGCTTTTCTTATTAAGACCCTTTAACCATTCTTTTAAATGTGGATTAGATATAAATTTATAACAGCAAAAAAAAGCTGTCAATTTTGGCATCAGCTGTACAGATAATGAACCCATATACAGCAATTGCTTTCGACAGTGACACTCCTACTCATTGATGACATTTGTCAGAGGCAGATTGGAGAATACTTAGAATGCCATTAAATCTTACTGCATCCTGCCTACTGGGTGCTGACCAATTAGTATTATGTGAGAGGAGTTGGGGTATTCTGTCTGGATTTCTCCCTCCCCCTGAGATCTCATTACTTTGTGATGGCAAAAGGGTTGGCCAATCGACTAGCGTCTTCCATCTCATTCCCCCCATACATCATCACTGCCCGCTCTGGGGTAAGAAATTAGTCTGTGTGTGTGTGAGAATGCTACTTCTCAGCTTGTCACTGCTAATGTTTGTGAGGTTTAGCTGTTCTTAAAAAAATAGACCAACACAAAGAAGGTTAAATCTGTTTTGAGGCTCACTAAGATGATGTTAATTTGTTATCACATAAATGTGTGCGTCCACCTAGGATTATCTACATTTATTAAATT